AGTAATTAATATAACAAGTAGATAGAAAATCAGTAAGAATATGTAAGACATGAACAACACTATCAACCAAGTAGACTTAATTAGACATTTATGGACATTTATAGAACTCCTCTCCCCCAACCATAACAACAGATTGCATGCTCTTTCCAATTGCTTACAAGAGATTCACCAAAATAGATCACATTCTATGGTACAAAATTCACCTCAAAATATTTAAAGGGATAGAACTAGAAACATAACTATAATTAAATTAAACTGAAATCCCCCAACAACAGAAATATTTCTGGAAAACTAACAAATACTTGAAAAATAAATAATACATTTCTAAGTAATCCATGGGTCAAAGAGGAAATCTCAAGAGAAGGGGAAAATATTTTAAACTGAATTAAAATTAAAATATAGCAAAATTTGTGGGGTGAAGAAAAAGCATCACACAGAGGTAAATTTATAGCATTAAATATTTGTATTAGAAAAAAAGAAAGATCTTTAAGCAGTAATCTAAGCTTCCACCATGAAAAACTAGAGAAAGAAGATAAAACTGAAAGCAAGTAGAGGGCAAGAAACTAAAGAGTGGAAATCAATGAAATTGAAAACAGAAAAACAATAGAGAAAATCACTAAAACCAAAGCTGATTCTTTGAAAAACACCAATAAAATTGATAAACTTCTAGCCAAACTGTCAAAAAAAAAAAGAGAAAAGTCACAAATTTCCAATATCAGGAATGAAAAAGGAGACATTCCTACTGATCCTATGTAATAAAATGGTAACAGATACATACTATCACAAACTCTGTATCCATAAATTCAACAACTTAGATGAAAGGGAACAATTCCTTGAAAAATACAAAGTATAAAAACTCACTCAAGTAGAAACAGAACATCTGAATAGTCCTATATCTATTAATGAAATTCATTCTATAAGTTAAAACCTTCCAAAAGAGAAAATGTCAGGCCCAGATGATTTCCCTGACAAATTTTATTAAACGTCTAAGGAAAAGGTAACAAGAATTCCACACACTATCTTCCAGAAAGCTAGAAGGGGAAATAATACTTCCCAACTCATTTTATGAGCCAACATGACTCTAGTTTTTTTCTTTCAGTACTTTAAAGATGTCACAACACTGTCTTTGATTTGCATGGTTTCTGACTAGAAGTTTGCTGTAATTCTAATTTTTGTTTCTCTGTGTAATTTCCTTCAAGAAAAGGCTGCCTTCAAGATTTTCTCTTTGGCTTGTTCTCAGTAGTTTAAACATAATATGGATAGGTATATTCTTTTTGGTATTTACCCTGTTTAGTGTGTTCTGTGAAATTCCTGGATCTGTGGTTTGGCATCTGTCATCAATTGAGGAAATTCTCAACCATTATTTCTTTTCATGTTTTAGCCATCATTTCTTTACCTGTTCCTTCTGCCCCACCCCTCTCTCTTCCTCTAGGGATTGCAATCATCTGTATGCTATGACATTTGATATCATGCCATGACTTTTGAGCACTGTTTGTTTTTTATTTGTTTCTTCTTTCTTCTTTTGTGTTTCGGCTGGGGTAAATTCTACTGACCTAACTTCAAGTTCACTGATTCCTTTCTTGGCTGCATCTAGTCTACTGAGGTGCCTGCCAAAGGTATTTCTCAACTCCATAACCGTGTTTTTTATTTCCAGCATTTATATTAGATCCTTTCTTATAGTTTCCATCTCTCTACTAAAACAATTACGCATATGATCTTGTGGGTTGTTCATACTTTCTATTTGCACCTTTAACATATTAATCATAGCTATTTAAAATTCCCTGTCAAATATTCTCACACCTTTGTCAGACCTGATTATCATGATTGCTGCATTTCTAGGGAGTGTGGTTTTTCTTGTCTTTTTGTATGTCTTATAAATTTTGCTAAAAATTGGGTATCTTGTATAGTATAGTAGAGACTGATTTCTAAGCATAAATGGATATATCTTTCTTGCTACTAAGCCTTTAATGCTCCTTCTAGCTGATTATATCCCTGAGTAGAAAAAGAAGACTCTCCCATAGGTTTTGAAAGACTTCGCCAAAAAGCTGGCTATACTACTAATAAATTCCTCTCTCTTTCCTCTGCTCTTTCCATGAAGACAGACAATCTGAAACAGAATTTCTGATTAAGCAGGAGATAATTAGTATATCCCCCATAGATCTATCCCAGCCAAAAGCAAAGAAACATGATACTCTGGACCATATGGGCAGCATACTGGGGAAGAGGTGGGTAAATATAAGATTATTTGGGATTCTGCAAAATATATGAATTGTTCTCAATATCCCTTGAGTGGCAGGCTGATTGTGTTAATGGCCATCATCTCTACCCCTCTCTCTGCATGTAGTTCTGTGTGCTCTCCCGCCGTGTTCGGCGTACCGACTTGCTTAAACAACCTGATTGGTTTTCGGCCCATGCCTTCAGCCAGTCCCATGAATACATGTCCAAGCTCACTGTAGACACATGTGACTCAGTTGTCCTGGCCACCTCAGCCACCAGCCAGACAGGTGAGTGATCCCTGCAGACCAGAGAACTGCCCAGCTAAGTCCAGACTAAACTGCTGACCCACAGACACACAAGCAGCTAAGTAAAAGTTTTTGTTTTAAATGACTGAGTTTTGGGGTAGGAATAGAAAGCTGATATATCTAGCAGGCCTTTCGGCCTCCAGAGATCTGGGAAGTATTGGTGCACACTCTACCACCACCTATGCTGTGTCTCCTGGAGCTCATATCGCCCTGCTAGATGCCATGTTTTGTGGATATTCCACCATTACAGTGAGTTGTTTTAAGCAAAATACAAAAATCAGATTCAGGAGGCTCATATTTTGAATATTAATTTCTAATTTTTACTAAGGGAGTCTTTGAAGAAGCACTTTATGTCTCTATTTTGCTGCTGGGATAGAAAGCCCACTCCTATACCCTTTGATTTAAGGCTATGGTTTCTATGAGCCCTGGACTAGGATGGCTGCAACAGACTCACTGCAGGAAAAACATTCTCTAGACCCTCCCCCGAGAGTCTCATTCAGGTATGCTGAGGTGGAGCCCAGAAACCTGAATTTTTGGACAGCTCCCCAAGATCATAGCATACTATTATGTTACAAATGTCAGGTGATGGTTGAAATGGATGGTTTCCCTAGATACTTTCTGAATCCATCTTTTGATACAAACTCCTTCCATCAGAATATAGTTATATATAGATTATATATGATCAATACACTAAAGTAATAGTTAATATAATAGGGAGTAGTAATATAATGTATAACTTGGAAATGCTTATTTCCAACAATAATTGAAGGAAGCTAGTATCTAACACATCCAGTAAGACCATCAGAATAGTTTAGATAACAAAGAAAAACGGTATCAAAGCCTCAAAACACTAGACCTCATGAGTAGTCGAGTTTCCTAGCAGCAAAGGCAAAAAGAGAAATACATAGTTATAAAAATTCTTACTATCTGATAAAATATATCAAAGTATCAGCAGAGACTTTTTTCCCCACAGCTGAATTATAAAAGGAGCTTAATCATATAGGATCTATTATACAAATTATTTTGAAGATAAAAAATGGAAAATAAGCTGATATACAGAGAGAAAGAAACTTTTTGGAGCCACACTGTAAAGAGAATCTAATTATGTAGGTCCTATTGCATAAAGGATCTTGAGTAACAAAAAGAGTTGTGTAACCAACAGTGGTTGGGCAGAAAATGACTATTTCTCATACAGTACATGTACATCCTGGGAGCATAGATATCCAGAGGTGCTTTTTCGGTGTGCAAAGGTCCATGGATGAGGCTTTCATGTTCAGAGTTTCTCAGGAAGGAAGCTTAAGACATCTGAGAACTATGAAGAGGGGGTTGTGCCCAGACACAGTGTCCCCTCAGAGGAGGAAAGGGCTATGCTGCACTACTGGGGAGCACTTCGTAGAGGAGCCAGTTCACACTCACGACCAGGAACCCGCATTCTCGGGGCTGACTCCAGAAATCAACCAAAGCAAACAGGTTCAGGAGGCAGAGGCAGAGTCTGAATCAGACACAAAAACCTTCTTGCTCCAGGAATACATCTAGGTTTCTCATCCACTGCATACTCTGTGGATTCTTAACAATGTGGTAACTGTTCTCTGGTTGCATTAATGGTAGCACAGTGCCCAGAAGCAGGGAGGCAAGGTCCTGGTTCTGTCCTGCTCATGTCCTTTCTTCAGCTCCCTTCGGCCATGCTGTCCCTTCTGGAGTGCTATACAAGTTGTCCCTTCAACCCACAACAGTCACACCAACACCCCTGGCCCACCCATACCCCTTTCATCTGGCTCCATCCTCATCCTTCAGATCTCCATCCAGATGGCCCTGATGCTCTCAAACCTGGGTAGGGCCTCCCACCTGTGCCCCCACAGCATCGATCCTGCTCCACAACCACCCCTATCACACTGAGCTGTGACTGCCTGTGTCCTTAGAGTGGTTGCCAAATTTCCCGGTTCACAGTTGGATCCTCACTGTTAGCTGTGCCAGGCAGAGCTGATGCTCCCAGGATGTACATAGTGGATGAATAAGGTTAAAGGAAAACAAAGGCCACTAAGAACGCTGTCAACAGGAACAGCCAACACAGACATAGGGCTTACCCTGTGCCTGGCCCCGTTCTAAATGCTGAGGTATGGGGCTGAGAGCTGAACCCAGGCAGGTTGCTCCTGAATACGTGTTCTTAAACCATGCATTGTCATCAGTGAACAAATGTGTGCAGTGTGAGGCTGGGTGACCTGTGGGACTGCAGGAAATGGGTGTGTACCCTGCCTCTGCGCAGCAGCCCAGTGCCCCCCAAACCTGGAGATGTGAGGGGAGGTAAACGCCTGGTGCAGGGGACCAATTCAGCCCTTCTCATGAAGCCCAGGAGTGGCTGGGTGGCTGGAAGGGACCATGATCTGTCCCATGACTAAGGCACTGCCCATGTTCCCTGGCAAGTGGGCCATGCTACGACAGAATCTGAGTTAATAGGAGGAGGCCGCGCAAAACAAGCACCTTGCCAACAGGAATGCTGCCACCTGCAGGGGAGGCTGGAAGCTCAGACGGGCTGGACCCCAGTGCTGGCCCCAGAGGGGTTGACCGATGGCTGGGTTTCTGCTCCGATAATCCAGCTGCTTTTTTCCTCTGGGCAGCGATCTGGGACAAGACATTGTCTATACTGCCACCTGAGGAAACACAAAAAGGAGTGAACACGGGCACACAGGACTTATTCCAACACAAGGGTCGTGGACTGTCAGTGTGATGACTGGGTTGGAGCCAGTCTCTCACACTTCCTTCCCCATGTGGCTCCAGGACAGGGCTGACCACAGGAGAACTCTGCCTGAGAACTGGGAGGTGGACGTTTAGGCAGCAGGCCCTGTGCTGCGAAGGTGTGATGGTAAGAGGTGGGAAGCAACAGTGTGGGCAAGACCCAGTCCATCCTCACTTTCCCCGTGCCACGGCCAGCTCGTGCCGGCCCCAACCAGGCACAGATGCAACACCAGGCACCAGATGCCGTCAACAGCCACTCAGCCGTGCTAGCCAGCAGCTGCACAGGCCATCTTGTCCAGCCACATCAGGGCTTCAGGAAGGCTGGAGAGTGACTTGTCCCTTGCCCTGTGACTCCCTTTATGTGCCCGCCTACTCCTACGACTGAGTCAATAAATTCCAAACTCCATAATGCTCAGAGTGGTCTGCTTTCTGATTGAACCCTGACTGCCATTCTACTGCTGCCCCAAATCTACTGGTAGCCTTGAACTATTATAAAAGAAAAGGGCTGAGCATGGTGGCTCACGCCTGTAATCCCAGCACTTTGGAAGGCTGAAGCAGGCAGATCACGAGGTCAAGAGATCAAGACCAGCCTGGGCAACATGGTAAAATACCATCTTTACTAAAAATACAAAAAATTAGCTGGGAGTGGTGGCAGGCACCTGCAAGCTCAGCTACTCGGGAGGCTGAGGCAGGAGAATCACTTGAACCAGGGAGGTGGAGCTTGCAGTGAGCTGAGATTGCGCCACTGCACTCCAGCCTGGCGACAGAGCTAGACTCTGTCACAAAAGAAAAAAAAAAAGAAAGAAAGGAAGAAAGTGATAATACCCAGGGTTGGGGGTGCTCAAGGGAGGACACTAATGACTAATATTTATAAAGGATTTACTATGTGCCAGGCACCGCTGTAAATATTTCACGTGTTTAAACAGAACCATTCTGGAGGGCAAAACATATCAAAAGCCTCAAAAACAGGCATACTCACGAACTCAGCCACCCTGATTCCAGCAAATTTAAATTACAGAAATCACTGAACATGTAGGCAAATATGGAGGCACAAAGGTGTTACATGGGGAGGTATTACCTACAAAAGCAAAAATCTAGGAACAGCCTCAGTGTTTAATACAGGAAATTGGTTAAATGCACTTGATGCCTCATACGAATGGAACACTGTTTGATTAAACAAGATTTATTAAACAAGCTGTAGATATATGTGTACCAACATAAAAAGGTGCTCACAATCTAGCAATGTGAGGAAAAGGAAAAAAAGCAAGATACAGAGCAGTTTATAGTTTAGTAAGACACGTGGTTCCAAGAACATGCTCTGAAGTCAGACTGCCTGGGTTTGGATCCTGGCTCTGCCAACCAATAGCGATGTGACCCAGGCAAGTTATCTAACTGTCCTCAGCCCCGGTCCTTCATCTGTAAAAGAGAGGTGGTAACTTCACTGGCTGCTAGGGGACTGAAGGAGATAATTCATTTAAAGGGCTTGGCATGCTACTTGACATATATTAAGTGCTCCATAAAATTTTTTTTTTGAGACATTGTCTCGTTTTGTCACCCAACCTGGAGTGTAGTGGCACAATCTCAGCTCACTACAACCTCCGCCTCCTGGGTTCCAGCAATTCTCCTGCCTCAGCCTCCCGAGTAGCTGAGATTACAGGCATGCACCACCACACCCAGCTTTTTTTTTTTTTTTTTTTTTTTTTTTGTATTTTTTAGTAGAGACACCGTTTCACCATGTTGGTCAGGCTGATCTTGAACACCTGACCTCAAATGATCTGCCTGTCTTGGCCTACCAAAGTGTGGGGATTACGGGCACGAGCCACCATGCCTGGCTGTACTGTGTCTTTTTATAAATATTCATAATCTATATGAAAACACTTTGCAAAGATATATATACATGTTTGGTATATATATACATATGCACCAAAATGTTGATGATCTGTAGTGGGTGAGATTATACCTTGTTTTGTTTCCTGGCTCATCTGGTCTTAAAGCTTTTTCCACTAGAAGCAGGGTGGCTGATATGGTTTGGCTGTGTCCCCACCCAAATCTCTTATTGAATTGTATCTCCCACAATTCCCACGTCATGGGAGGGACTGGCTGGAGGTAACTGAATCATAGGGGTGCATCTCTCCTATGCTATTCCCTTGACAGTGAATAAGTCTCATGAGATCTGACGGTTTTATAACGGGGAGTTTCCCTGCACAAGCTTTGCTCTCTCTTGCCTGCCGCCATGTAAGATGTGCCTTTCAGCTTCTGCCATGATTGTGAGGTCTCCCCAACCATGTGGAACTGTGAGTCCATTAAGCCTCTTTTTCTTTACAAATTATCAAGTCTCGGGTATGTCTTTATTAGCAGCATGAGGACAGACTAATACAGTGGCCTGGTTTTGGTTAATCCTGGATGACCTCAGGGAGGAAAGTATGCCGCAAGCCTGTAAGAACTATGGGGCACTCTGCTTTGAGACCTAATTGCCACCAACTTGCTGTGTGACCCTAAGTAAATCTCTTGCCCACTGTGAGCTTCAGTTTCCTCATCTGTTCAATGAAGGGGCAGAATGAGAAGCTCCCCAAGGTCTAACCTTCATGGATTTTAAATACCATGAAAACACCATGCATTTCTCTAAATTTCTTGTAAAAATTTACAAGAAAAAAAAGCATTCTGGACTTTCTATCCCTCCATCTCCACTTACCCACATCCCCAAGAAAATGTATAGAGCTCTGAATCGTGAATTCAATGAAAAATCTCTTAGCCACATCAAGGAGAAAGTCCCTCTTGTGCAGTCATTCCTCAGACTTTCTGCAGCCTGAACATCCGGACAGCTCACACCCTCAGTCCCAAGGGATCATCCCACCTCCCTGAATGGCCCTGCCCAGCTACTCACCGGAGCGGTTAAGCAGCTCCCCAGCGTGTCGGCTCACACCTCCTACCCCACTGGAGCCGCCAGATGAATGAGGCGAGTGGTTGAAGTTTCCAGAATTGGTGGGAGAGGCTGGGCTTCTGGAGAGGCTTGGAAATTTAACAGGCCTGACGGGTGTCTGCAAGAATAAGGCGGCACAGCACTTAGGGAGGCTGCTCCTTCCTCCAGCCGTGGAGGACCATGGTGAGGGGGTTCTGGCACCCAGCTGGTACACACACGCCCCACCAAAGCTCGCTGTGCACCTCCCTCCAGCCGTGCAGGACCACGGTGAGGGGGTTCTTGCACTCAGCTGGTGTACACCCCACCAAAGCTTGCTGTGCGTAGCATGGCACTGCTGGGACCCAGCTGGGAAGTCCCTGAGGGATGGAGCTCACTTCTATGTGCTGACAACCTGCCCATCAGCTCAGTAAGCCCATGTCACATCATTTCCCATGGGCCATTTTGCTTTCAGTCTCATTCAACTCCAAGGCCTTCCAGGAAAAAACCTGCCATGTCATTCATTGACAACCCATGGAGGCCGCAGCATATCCAGGACAAAATCCAGCCCTCCAGCACAGCCTGGCACAGTGACCAGCTCCCTGACTCCAAGCCTGCTTCTGTGATGCTGCCCCTGCTGGTCCCTCAGGCTGAAATGTGTCTTCTCCTCCCTACATCCTTCATGGCGCCTTTCTTGGCCCCACTATCCCTGGTGCCAGAGCCCCTGGTCACGCCTTCTCCATCCTGACCTCACTCCACCTTCTACTTCGCTTGCTCTGCTCCAGGCACACCAAACTCCTTTGGGTTTCCTGAAAATGCGAATCCATTTTGTGCCTCAGGCCCTTTGCCCACACGGCCTGTTCTACATGGACCCTGCAGCTCCTCCCCATCCTCACCCCACTCCTCCCACAGTGGCTCCTCCCTGTCCTTGGGTCTCAGGTCTCGGAGGCCTTCGCTGCCTATGCGGTGTCATGTGGGCTCTGGTCTAGGGTGGGCTCCCGTGTAGGGCAGGCTCCCCAACGTACATCTGTGCTCCCTTCCAGCACCCTCTTTGCTTACACCACAACTCTTACCACAGCTTGTGAGCCTATGTTTACTACAGTCGCCTTGTGTGTCTGATGCCCCAGTGGACTCTCAGCTCCATAGGGACTTGGTTCTCTGCTGTATGCCTGGCACCCAGCTCTGGCACAAACAAGGTACTCAGTAAACATGACTAAAGGTTGGAGCGGGCTGAACTGCAGCTCCCAAAAAGATACACAGTGTCCTAATTCCCAGAACCTTTGACTAGTACCTTATGAGGTATGAGTGAAGATAAGCTTATGTGTGCTTGCCTAAGATGTGTTCAAGTCAAGGATTTTGAGAGGAGGAGCTTATCCTGGATTATCTAGGTAGACCCTAGATACAATCACATGTATCTTCATAAGACAGAAGGCAGAGAGAATTTTGACAAACGAGGAAGCAATGTGACCATGGAGGCTGAGACTGGAGTGACGCAGCCGCAAGCCAAGCGAAGCCGAAGAGCCGAGAGAAGCTGTCAGAGGAAAGAACGGATCCCCGTGAGCCTCTGGAGGGAGTGGGGCCCCGCTGACACCTTCATTTCAGGCTTTCTGCCCCAGGACTGTGAGAGAATACATTTCTGTTGTTTTCAGCTACACAGTTTGTGGTGACTTTGTTATAGCAGCCACAGGACACCAAAACGAAGATCCTCTTTTCGGTCCCCCACTGTGGGCACTCCTAAGAGAGGGACAGTGACAGATCCCCAGGGCCCGGAATGAGACCCATCTGCTGAGTAAGTGATCAGAACACACGTGCGAAGGCCACAGCTCCTGTTCTCTCTCCCTCCACCTGGGATGCTGCTGCCTGCACTCCACCGGGGAGAAAACTCTTCCACAGCCTGCAGATTCCAGCTCAGCTATCTCCTCTTCCTGGAGGCCTCCCAAGTGCCCTACCACACACAGTCACCTCTCTGGTGCTCCCACACCCCTACCACCGCTCCCTGCCTCGTGTGCTGTGCCTGTGTCTTTGCCACCCAGACCACTGCCTCTTCTAGGGCAGAATAGGGATGACTGGGCTACATGGCAGCGGGATTCAGTGAATGTCCACTGAGCAAGTGAAGCAGGTCAGGTTGATGTTCTGTCCCTCTAGGGTTAACAAGGAAATGCAGCCACAGAAGTCTCAGGGATGGGTTCTACAACTCCCCCATGTTGCTACCTGACCGAGAATAGTGGACTAAACGCAAACCTGTCCTGCCTGTTTTGAGAGCATCTCCAGGCGCCAGGCACTTGGTCTCCTGCTGGTGATCTGATACTACCATAGCCCAAGGAAGCAGCAGTGAGTGCTAGGGTCAGCCCCATCTTATAGAGATGGAGGCCACAAGTTTCTCCAATCACCCAGCACACAGCAACAGGGTCAGTCCTGAATCCCTCTGTCTTGCCCATTTGCTGCATCTACCGTCTAGATACAGGCTACACAGAAATACCTCCCACACTGACGGTGCTGTCAATTTCAGAAACAGACCAAGGGCAACCAAATTAAAAATCACTACAGGCAAAAGGATAGAAGTCACATTCTTGGGCATAAGAAAACACCAGTAGCACACACAGTGGCCTCTGAATGTTTGATCCTGATTGTGGACCTGAGCAGTAATGTAGCGTGGGACTTGATTATCAGCCAAGGATCTGATTTCTGCCTAGGTTCACCCACACTTGGCTGGTGATCTTCAGCTATTACTCCCATTCTCTGGGTCCCAGTTTCCTTATCTACTAAAAGGAAGTTTGAATTAGATAGATCAGGTCTTCAAACTGTGCTCCTCGGAGCTCTAGGGTTCTAGTGAAGGGACAAATGTTCCCCACTACCTCAATATTTTAACCTATTTTCCATATTGAGTTGCTCTGTAGGGCTTCATTACACAAAAGGGTATCATCCATTGAAAAGAAAAAGAAGTTGCAACACCTCTGGATTCATCAGTTTGAGGTCCCTCAGCCTGGCACACACCATGATCTCAGTGAACAGTAAGTGATGTGTAAAAGTGTGTCAGAAGACAACTCACGGTATCTGTGCTCACACTGCCCACGGGGTGGCCCCTGCTGGCTCTCTGGGGCAGCACAGTCTTCATGGGGTCTGCCTTCCCATTGTGACGTGTCCGGGACCGATCAGAGCTCCACAGCTCAAAACTGGAAGGGGGTAGGAATGGCGGGATGACAGCTTTCAGCTTGTCACTCGGGAGTCTGGTGAGGGGAGCTCCGTTTCGAAGCTGAAAAAGACAGGCTGAGGGTTAGACTAGCCCAGGTGGGCTCTCAACTCTGTGGGAAAGACTCCAGGTTTTTACTGCTTCTCAGGGCATGGCACCACCATCCGCCCCTCCACCCAAGCCAGGAGCTAAGTGGCATCTGAAGCTCTCCTCCATGCAACATCCATGTCTGCTCTACACCAACTCCAGGCTTCTCCTGGATCTGTCCTCACAGCAGCAAGATCAGAATGCCGCAGAGGGGACAGACCGCCAAGGAGAAGCAGGTGATGCTGGTATGCTGTGGGGGGAGGCAGGGGAAATGGGAGAGCACAGAGGAGGGGCACCCCTGCTGCAGTGAGAAGGCACCTTTGTGGGGACTGAACAACAGTGCAAGCTGGCCCACCGAGGACCAGGAAGGGGCATTCCAGACTGTATGAGGGGCCAGAATACGGAAAGGCCTGGAGCCTAAAGGAGCCGGACACAGGTGCAGAGCTGCAGGGAGACCAGCATGAGCAGTCCTGGGGGCCAGAAGAAGAAAGGGCAGGGGAGAGAAGACTAGCATGAGCAGCCCTGTGGACTGGGGGAGGAAGGAACAGGGGACCAGGAGGCCAGCAGGGGCAGATCTGGGGGCTGGAGGAGGAAAGGGCAGGGGAGAGGAGACCAGCATGAGCAGCCCCAAGGGCTGGAGGAGGAAGGAACAGGGGACCAGGAGGCCAGCAGGAGCAGACCTGGGGGCTGGAGGAGGAAGGGGGAAGGGGGAAGGGAAAGGGCTGGGGACCAGCACCATTCTCTTCCCCAGCCCCCCACATCCCAGCTTGCTCCAGTCATGCCTCCTGCTGATGACATTTAATTGTAATTTAATTTTAAATTCTGAATATGTGATTTGGGGGTCAGTATAAACTCCACACAGTAATGATTGTTGGATCATCAAGGAAAGTGTTTACAGACCATGCTCACCTTAATTAAGAAAAGAAAGTGAACTTTGTGCCAGATGGTGCTTCGCAGCAACGGGCACCCCACAGCTACACCCGCCTCAGGAGTCGAGCAGGCAGGCATCTCCACACTGACGGCTGCAAATGCCCATCAGCAGGGCAGCCGGGCCACCCCTACCCACTACGGGCGGGCAGGCACACTGGTGCCCTCTACAGGGCATGAGCGGTCAGGGAAGGAATACACCTCCCAGGTTCCTAGGCTGGCTCCGTCCTGCTTTTCTTAAAGTCTGGAAACTAATGCTGTCCTCTCTTTCCCTCTAGACCACAACAAGCCCGTCCAGCAACTGGGGTTGGGCTGCACACTCACAGCAGCAAACCCACCACCACAAAAGGGCCTTTTCCCTCCCTGGGGTAAGAGTCTGAATTGTTGCTACCTTTCTGGAAGCCAATGACATTCACCACCTTTGACCCAGGAATTCAGTTTCTAGATGTTCATCCTGAGCAAATAAACAGGCAAGTGGGGGAAATGAAGGTATACGGACATTCATATGAGCTGTTAAAATAACAAAAAACCAGAAATCCCAGAGTCTGACAGTTCAGCCTTAGATAAAGAGACACGCTCTTACACTGGAATGTTCTAAAGTAGCCATTAAATATGATGTGGCTACATGGTGTTTGGTGACACGGAAAAGATGGTCACAACATATAAACTGCAAATAAATTGGATTCAACACAATATGGGAAAGATACTAACAGGGCCAACCTCAGGAATATTAAATGAGCTAATAGAGGCAAATTGCTGTGAACAGTAGCTGGTACTTAGTAAGAGCGATAGTATTTGCTATTATTATGTATGACATAATATCACATTTATACATGCTAAAAACTGCTTACAAAAAATACTCAAAAGACATATACCATAAAATGCTAACCACGGTTATACCTGGGTGTGTAATCAAGGGTGAATTTATTTTCCTTATGTTTTACTGCTTCTTCCAAAATTTCTAAAACAGCATTTCTGTCTTCACACCAAAAGTACTTATTGCTATTTAATAACATGATCAAATGTCAGGCAGCACAAGCCCCACAGTCAGTGTTAGAGCCATCAGTTTACACCTGCGGGGGGGCAGGGAGCCGCGGGCAGATCAGGTCAGGAGCCCCCGCGGGGCTCTGCAGATCCTAAGGCATGCTGCTGATGCCTTTCCCGGGAGCCCTGTCCTCCCTGGTCCTCTGCAATACTGCCCTCTGCTGGCTAGTATTAGGGTCTTAGCGCTAAAGGGACTCAAGTCCAACTTTAACCATGAGGCTCTCACGTCAGAAGAAAGGAATGTAAAGTCCAGAGAGGGGAGGTGACACAGCCAAGGTCACACCATGGAGCTTATTCTGGGCCAGGAACTATGCTAAGAACTTCTTGGGAGTGATCTGGTTTAAAAACCATAACCATCCCCTAAGTCAGAGACTGCAAACTGCCACCAGTATCTACTTCTCCCATCTCAGAAATGACACCCCTGATGATTATTTAGATGGGCACAGGACCACCTGGAACAAAGACAACATTTCCAAGCTTCCCCACAGTGATATAAGCAGAGTAGTTGCCAAGAAACTTTTTTTTTTTGAGACAGAGTCTTGCTCTGTTGCGTAGGCTAGCTAGAGTGCAGTGGTGCAATCTTGGCTCACTGCAACCTCCGCCTCCCAGGTTCAAGTGGTTCTCCTGCCTCAGCCTCCTGAATAGCTGGGATTACAGGTGCCTGACACCATGCCTGGCTGATTTTTGCATTTTTAGTAGAGACAGGGTTTCACCATGTTGGCCAGGCTGGTCTCGAATTCCTGACCTTAGGTGACCCACCCACCTCGGCCTCCCAAAGTGCTGGGATTACATGTGTGAGCCACCACACTTGGCCCAAGAAGCTTATTTAAAGACCACTGGCATGTGCCCATAGCTACCTTTTCTCCCCTCTTCTCTCCGGCTAGCTGGAATAAGGCCGTGATGGCCAGAGCTCCAGCAGCCATCTTGAACCAAGAGGAGACCTTGGAAATAGAAACTACACCTGGGGGACCAACAGACAGAAAATCCCTAGCTCCAAGGAGCCATATACTAGTTCTGAACTTTACTTGAATGAAGTAGGGCTGCTTACTTATTTACACCATTGTTATTTGGAGACTTTCTGTAACTCACAGTTGATCCTAATCCTAATACGTTTCTAGTTTATAGACGAGGAAACTGAGGCCTCCCCAGCTGAAAATATGCTCTTCTCTTTGACTCCTCTCTCCCTGGTTCTCCACAGCCCAAATGGTGAGTCTCCATGTTTCATGCTGCCCATCAATTCCCTCCTTCCTGATCAATTCCCTCAATCCCCCGCCTCCCTGAGAACAGGGCCAGGGCTGACACCCATCAGCTGAGTACCAGCACAGCCCTCCACAGTTTAGGGCTGGCATCTGTTCTGACTCCTCAGTGCCAGAGCTGAGCCCATTGTTAAACATTCTGATCACCAACCCCATCTGTGACCACCACAAAGACAAATGCCCACATCCCTCTTTGCAAATCAATCAACTAATGATTGGTGGAGACCTAAAATGCTTTTAGAAAGTCCCCATGCTCACCATGATTGTCAATAATGCGTCTTCCTTTTCTCCTCTTGCGCTCCCAGGACCTGAGAGACAAATGGAAATTTCCTGAAATGACCCCTCCACGTGTCCACAGCCTAAGGATGAGTGAGTAGGGCAAGCTTCATCCTGGAAAACCAACTCTCCTGGGTGCTTAAATATTTAATAATAATTGGTATTCAATATTTTAATAGAAGGAAGGCACTTAAAAGGTATACTGGAGCATGTTTTCAGTTTTTCCATGAACCATCGTTGTGCTGGGTCAGACAGTAGTGCCCTCAGCTCAATAGTCTGTCTCGGACAGTGGTACCATAGGAGCTAATCCAGTTATGGAGAATCTGACTGTCAGAAGGAATCTTATCTATATTCCAGTCAGTATGGGAAGCTCCTTCAGCAAACTGACAAAGCTATCCAAGCTGTTGAATACCTCGAGTGATGGGGAGCTCACTACTCACACCCTCCCGGTAACTCATTTTATTTCAAGATGCTTTCAGTGTCATAGACCAATCACATTTCATAGGTGGGGAAACCATCTATGAAAGGCAAGAGAGAGGCACTGAGTGGCCTGTGGTCCCTCAGCAGGGAATGTGGGACAGGAACCTGAGACTTTTGCCCCTGGCCAGCACCTTCTCATTCTATCACACTCCTGGTGGTTGTATCCCTGCCTAAGTCTCTTTTCTACCAGACCAGCCTCTGCTCCAGTGTCACATTCCAACATCATCTCACCCCTGACGGCAGCCCAGGAGGTAGGACAAAGGGCAGAGGGTGCAGGCTCAGACCATTCCGAAAATTTTGCTGCACATGCAGACTTTTCTCACCATTGTCTTTGGTCACAGGAGATGCATCAGGGAGTGCAGAGTGGCTTGTCTTGTCCTGGGGGGCGGCCCTCATTGTGGAGTCCAGAGCTGGCTCAGACTCATCAGAGAAAGGCAAAGGCTGGTTGCTGGATAGCCCACGGGGAAGCGTCTGCATCAGTTTGAGCTTTCGGAACCGATTGGACATTCGGTTCCACCAGGACTGCCAAAGGAAGGCAGAGCAGAAGTCATGTTCCAGGAAGGGCAAGGAAGGCAGGCCCAGGACCCACCCAGTCCAGGGACAGTGACTGCATTCACATGCGCCTGCCCTCCTGTCTCCTGGGGTCTGGACAGACATTCCTGGCCAACCACAGCGCCCATTCCCAATAAGCCATGGTTGCTCACTAAATCTCTCCTGACCCAGCCCTTAGACAGTCCTTTCCAATAGCCTGGAGGTGGCAGTAAACCCTATTTGCCATCCCTTACTTAATCAATCTCCTCATCGCACAGATTGAGAAATGGAGACCCAGACAGGAGTGCTGACTTGCTTGAGGTCTTACAGTGAGACAGGGACAGACGGAAACAGAGGCAGCTCCAGATCCCTAGGCGTCTATCATTGCATAACCTCTCTCCTCCAACTCCAGTGATAACGTGAGAGTCTTCAGGACCTCTACACCAGGGCCTGGGCCAGCTGCTCCTATAGCTGATCCCCACCTAGAGAGGACAGGCACTAGCTCCCGGGGACGCTTATAACCCATGACCACTCGGAAGTTAATGAACAGCCACCAAGGGCATCTGCGAGGGCCTGGCCTATGGAAACGGCAGTCAAGAGCAGGAACAAAGGGAGCTCTGAGAACACCACAGTGATGAAGGACGCAGAGCCTGAGCCAACAATGGACACGAAAGCGCCGAGTCTGCAGCCTTCAGAAGGCGCTGCCACCCCATGCAGAGGGGAGAGGTCGGCAGGCAAGGCCAGGGTGCTGTTTTGTTTTCTCAGGTGTAAAGTAAGTTTGATCCCAAACAAATAAAGTAGGGCGTGGAAGATGAGAAATTCAAAGAGAAAGTCTCAGCTTGCAGTTACAATCAGTCACCAGAGTTTGTTTCTGGTGTTTCCAGGAAGCTGGCAGGGCCTGTGGACTGCAGGGAGATCCCAAAACGGCAGCATCAGCAAATGTCCTGCACAGTAAAGCAGAGGCTGCAAATGGATTCCCTGGGAAGAGAAGCGTTCGCTTCGGCCAGCTTAGTACTACATCATGCAGAATTTTTTAAATTCCCTGTGCTTATAAATAAGATTCCATATCAAAATCTGGATTTCTATTTTTTCTAAAAAAGAAAAAAAGAGATCTAGCAATATGGGCCCACATTCTTTTTTGAGACAAGGTCCTGCTTGTCACCCAGGCTGGAGTGCAGTGGCTCACTCTCGGTCACTGCAACCACTGCCTCCCAGGCTCAAGCAATTCTCCTGTCTCAGCTTCCGAAGTAGCTGTGATTACAGACGTGGACTCACATTCTTACAAAGCAGCCACTGTCCTGGTCCCTCTCATTTCCTATTGCTCAGCATCAGCTCACCTGCCACCCCTGCTCGGACTCCCCAGCATAAACCAGCCTGGTGAAGAGGAGGCAGCAGGCTTCCCACCAGCCCCCAACTCCCTGGCCCCCTAAGCCCCTTTAAGACAGGAAAAGGCAAACCTTCAGCCCACCCTTGTCATCGGGCAGCACTGGGATGCTCCAGGGCTGTCGGACCTTCGAGTGGGGTAGCGGTGGCTGGTGGCTCGGCCGGCCTTTGTCTTTGTTCACCTGCATGCAGACAGATGCCAGCAGTCGAACAAGTTCCGTGTCTATGGACACAAAAGGCAGCACTTTACCTGCAAATATGTCTGTTGGGCCATGAGAAGACTCAAGATGACCCATGTCAGACTTAGAATTTAGCCCTGCAGCTCCAGGGTCTGCGTAATTCCAGAATCAAGGCACCTGCCTCTCCGTCTGATCTTCAAAAGGTGGCAAACCAAGCCAGGAGGGCTTAACCCACTTAACCAGAAAGAAAAATTGGAAGCCCTCTTCATGAGGAAGGCAGGGGGAGAGTATGTTTAAAAGTGCAGGCTTCACAGCCAGAGTGCAGAGGTTCAGATTCTGCCTCTGTCCCTCCCTGGCTGTGTAACTGCAGGTAAATTACAAAGCCCCTCTGTGCCTCTGTAGAAGTCAGTGACATTAGTACCTACCACAGAAAGGTATCTGGATGATTCAAGGGAATTCCTTTAGTGCAACATAAGTGCTTTAAATATATTATTACAAAATTACTATTACCTCAACTAGGTTACAAAAAAAAAAGCATTGAAAACAATATTGAGAATACTCCAAACTATTAACAATGCTTTTTCTTGATGACTATTTTTTTCTTTCTTTTTTTTTTTGAGGCAGAGTCTTGCTTTGTCACCCAGGCTGAAGTACAGTGGCATGATCTTGGCTCACTGCAACCTCTGCCTCCTGGGATCAAGCAATTCTTTGCCTCAGCCTCCTGTGTAGCTGGGGCTACAGCGCCTGCCACCACTCCTGGCTAATTTTTGTATTTTTAGTAGAGATAGGGTTTCGCCATGTTGGCCAGGTTGGTCTAGAACTCCTGGCCTCAAGTGATCCATCCACCTCAGCCTCCCAAAGTGGTGGGATTACAGGTGTGAGCCATCCATGCCCAGCCAACTATTCCCCTTTTCTCTCTCCAAGTATTCAATAACAGGGATGGGTTTCTTCCAAAGTTTTATGTAAAAACTTCATTTAAAAACCCACTAGGAAAAAAATTCCTAGGAACAGACTGTTTTATTGGGAAAGGGAATACATGGGAGTGGAGCTAGGGAGAAAAGGAACACTGAAAGAGATGAGTTTGTCAGAAAAAGCATGTGAGATCCAGTGGGAGTGGCTGGGGACTGATTCCAAATAATAAACTCTTGGCACCTGAAGAAGGTCTCCAATTAGGTGGAGTGGGATCACTGGACTTAGGGCAGAGGAACCCAACTCTGGCTGGGACAGATCACTTCCCTAGTCTTGGCGGCCATCTCTCTTCAAGAAGAGTATGTGAACCTCTGCTTCCCCTCTCAGAACTCGTCGAGGGTCAAATAGAACGAGTGTGCATCTGTGAAGTACAGGGGACTGCAGCAGGGAAGGGGTGGCAAAGGTAGCAGTGCTGTGATGAGGAAGGGCAAGCCTGCTGGCTACCCTCCTAGCTAAGAGTGGCAGCAGGTGACTTGTGACTGCAGAGATAAAAGTCTTCTCTCTCCACAGTCAGCAGCTAGGATCCCAGCACACGGTTCAAGCCTAGTGGGTCAGAAGGACCTCAGGGCTTCTCTGTCTCTCAGTTGAAACTCTAGGGTAGTAAGAAAGATGATAGATCAGAGACCCTCTCCCTTGAGCTGGCCAATAAGAAAGATGATAGATCAGAGACCCTGTCCCTTGAACTGGCTAACTGGAAGCCCAGGTCCCAAAAGAGGGCCTGTCATAGCAGGGGAGGGTCTAAGGGGAGTAGCAGGTACCAGGCGAAGACCAAGAGGGGTGGAACTATGGCGACAGGAGCCTTGACCCTGCAGCCTCTACCTACACAATTAAGCCGAGGCGGGGTCAGCGTTCTATCTCCCAGTCTGCTTGTCAAAGGGATCTTTATGTTTCCACCTGAGTGACTCAGGGTTTCTGGCTGTGAAGCACAGATGCCATTCTAGGGTCTGTGTGGACTGCCAAGTCAGACACGTCTTGTTTTCCTTCCCTCTCTTTCCTTCCCTCTCTGGAGACTCCTAGGAGGTTGGTGCTGGAAGAAGCCTCCAGGATCACCTGGTCCAAGTCCAGTGCTTCAGTGGGGAGGGAAGGGACTTGCCTAGGATCATTCAGTAAGCTCCTGACACTTGAGAATGACTTTCTCCCAAAGTCAAAGCAAGTGCTTAAAACACAGGTCACAGAGGAGGTGGCTGTCTTGACTCCTAGCCTGAGAAAGGCTGGGTAGATTTACAACCCTTTTCTTGAAATTACCCACCAGGATCATTCAGCAGCATCACCAGGTCAAAGGCCGTGTACCCATTTTTTGCACGAAGAGTGACATCAGCTCCTTGGTTTAGCAGGTATTTGACAATTTCCTTATTCCTGGGAAGAAAATGCTAGTTACATTCAATGAAAGCAAAAGCAGGGCTTTGCTCCTGGGCAACAGAAATGACAACATTAATCTAAGAAGGGCATGGAAGGGCAGTCTCACACTCCCTCATTCTCTAGCATATGGGTAGGTCAAGTGGGAATATGATTTAAATCAAAGTCCTAAGTGTTCTTTTCAGGAACAAAATGAAAACCAAGGCTGGATGCAGTGGCTCATGCCTGTAATCCCAACACTTTGGGAAGCTGAGGCGGGAGGATTGCTTGAGTCCAGGAGTTTGAGAACAGCTTGGGAAACATGGGGAGGCCCTGTCGCTACAAAATTTTTGCTTGAAAATTAGCTGGCTCTGGTGGTGTAAGCCTGCAGTCCCAGCTACTTGAGAGACAAAGATGGGAGGATTGCTTGAGTCTGGGAGGTCAAGGCTGCAGTGAGCCATGATCACATCACTACACTCCAGCCTGGCAACAAAGTGAGACACTGTCTTTCAAAAAAGAAGAAAACCAAGGGCTCTTCCCCCCAAACACTGACCCCATGGGAGAACCCCACTACTTCCACCCTAAATAAGGGCGTCTCCATTGGGAAAGTCTCCTACAGACCAAGGTGTCTGAAATAAAATTTTGTCTTGAAATTCAACACTAATTGAATAAGAAAACAAACTGTTTTCAGATGACACAGGAAAGTGATCTGATCACATAAAAGAGGTCAACAAAAGAATCTCTAATTGGGAGTTAGACCACTTAGCAGCCTCGAGATGCCCACCCCAAAAAGGAGGCCTCTCAGAGGAGAGAGCCCACCTTGCTGGGATGATCACATAACAAGATATTCATAAGCACCCAGTAAACACTGAAGCCTATTCAAAAGGAGAAAGGCAGGACATGTCTTACCACCAATCATCAAGATGACAATGGTATGAATAACCAATGTTTACTTCATACAGGGGCTACTTAAGGAGCTCTCTGTATCTCAGTGTGAAAACTCCAATGAACCAGTCACGGTGTTCAACCGAAACCAACCTAGAGAACCTTATCTCTCTGCATAAAATGTTCCTGCTGCATGGTTTTTCATGGCCATTGGTGAAATTCTCTGACGGGGTAACAGGAAATCTGGACACAGAAGTGTGGGAATTAAAGGGGCCTGTGCCAATTTCTTTTTTTTTTTTTTTTTTTTTTGCATTTGCATGCCTCAATGTCATCACAGTCCTGGGGTTTGTATGCAGCATCTCAGGACAGAAGAGCCACCAGGAATCCCCATCTCAGACCAGAGCATCTGTCTGGCCTTGTCGCTGAGGGTGTGGAGCTGGCACTGACCCATGGTAGGTGGCCTGCATGAGGGCCGTCCAGCCATGCACGCTGTCCTGCTTGTCAACATCCGCATGCCTCTCCACCAGTAGCTGCACCAGCGCCAGCTGCCCCGTAACAGCCGCTAGCATCAGTGGGGTCGCCCCGTCTCCATTGACCAAGTTCACCTGGCTGGGGTCTTCATCGGCAATCTCTTTGACCAGCTGGAAGTTTCCTGCAAACACAAGCAGAAGTCCGGGTGATCTGTGGGCCCGGCACCACAGGCTGATTTATCCCATGTTTCGTGTAACAAAACACTTGCTGGCCCTGCCTCTGCAGTGGGCTGCTGGGCATCATAGGGGATACTAAGAGGGCCTGGAGATAGCCCCGACCCTTGAATGCCTCAGTCTACACGGGATGGAGACAAGCACATGAATGGTAGAAGTGTTACTAAAAGACAGAAGTGTTGTTAGTGTCTTCAGAGAACAGATGAAGGAGACAGAAGAAGAGCTCAGGTCTTGCTGCAGGATGAGGATCACGAAGGGCTTCCTGGAGGCAGGGGCTATAACGAGAGAGAAAATTTTCGGCTAAATGCCTCTTTGCCATGAAGAGACTGGAGTGGGTGTGCAGAGAGGCATTTTGGAGTCAGGAAGAACTGGGGCATAGCCAGCCAGTGTTTGGCTGGAGCAGGGCTGAAGGCCATCTAGAGTCTATGCGTAGAGCTCCATAATAAACACTGGCCTCCAGGATCTGAACTTCCAAACACCAAACACCAGAATGCCTGTTTCTCTCTCAAATACCCTGGGTGGCCTTGAAAAAGACTACAAATATTAGGTTGGGAGAACGTAGCCCTGTATTCTTAAACATCCAAAAAGATTTTCCAAAGCGCTTACCCATTTTCAATGCATGGAAAATATCAGGTCGCCTTTTCTCCTCATCTGGGTAAACAAAGATTTTTTAAAGTTAACCACGGAAAGGTTTAATAAAACAGAAAAGTCACAAGGGTGTAACAACACAGCCTGGCTTTAAAAAGCATCTAATTCTCAAAAGCAATCTAATTGGAGACTTGTGTAATGGACAAATCCAGCAGCTCTTCTAGAAGGTTTATTACCAAAGAATATCTGAAAACACTTGAGACAGATCTCGCCAACAAACACGAATGAGCAGCAGATCATGGCCTGATCTCATGCAAATAAAGCAATCATTTTTAGGCAAAACAAACACTGGCATATCCTTTCTTAGATATACTGACAAGTCTTAGGGTCTTGGAAAATCCTGGATTCCTATAGACACTGTTTCAAAAAAAAATTTTTTTCTTCTAAAAACTAAATGTTCAATCATAATTCCAAAGCAGAGGACCCCTGAGATACTGAACAGCTGAGCTCTAAGGAAGTTCACAGCCACAGCCAACAGAAGAGCCAATGTTCAGTTTTCTTTCCCTCCCATGTAAGAAGTAATCAGGACAGGCTCTCTGTCCCAAACCTGCATACTCAGCTGCCCAAAGGCCACTGCCCAACTGAGTGTCTTCATGCTGTCCCCTGAAGCCCAGCTGCTAGGCTGGGACCAGACCCCACATCTACCCACACAGCCGAGCCTTGCTGCAGCTGCCAGATGCTAGCCCCTCCCTCACATACTCATCCCAAACCTTCCCCCAAGCTTGGGCCAGGGAGTACCTGCCTCCTGTCAGAGCAGACATCCTCATGGCCAGTCCACTTGCTGGGTGGCTGAACGCAGGCCTTCTGCAGCCTTTAACTGATCCTGGGGGATGGAGCAGCTGCCAGAAGGCACCTGTGACTCTGGGCTGACCTGGACTTGAGCAGCTGGGAGGAAGCTGCAGCCTGGGGCAAGGAGCACTGAGTGTGGAGTCAGTGCATGTGAATTTCAGAGTACATTTTTAGAGTAAGCTGCCTCTTCATCACGAATGTGGAGATAAGAGCCCTCTCACCTGGCTGTTGCAGGGATCAAATGATAATGTTAAGGCCCCATCCAAAGAGCAATTATTTTCTTTACTAGCAACCAGAAAGGTGAACCCCAGAATTATTTTCTGAGATGGAGTCTCGCTCTGTCAACCAGGCTAAAGTGCAGTGGTGCAATCTTGGCTCACTGCAACCTCTAATTCCTGGATTCAAGTGATTCTCGTGCCTCAGCCTCCCAAGTAGCTGGGATTATAGGTGTATGCCACCAAACCCGGCTAATTTTTGTATTTTTAATAGAAACAGAGTTTCGCCCTATTGGCTAGCTGGCCTGGAACTCCTGACCTCAAGTGATCTGCCTGCCTTGGCCTCCCAAACTGCTGGGATTGAAGGCATGAGCCACCAGCCAGAAATCCAGAATTCTTAATGGCAAGTAAAGACACTACCACGGAACACAGTATCTAATTCTGCCTGTGAAATACTATCCAGAAACAATTCTGAACCTGATTTTTAAAAAATATGTCATGTTCCTTCAAGTATTCAAGAACCAACTTTGCTATGGACTGGGGTCTTCTCATGCTAAGACCTTTTCAAAGAAAAGAGTGTTACCTGGTCTTAGTATTGGCTGCTAAGCGACCATCTGACACAAGTTAAATGACAACCGAGCCTGACCCCAGGAGGCAGGGGCAGCTGTGTCCTGACACTCAGTGACTCTTGGCTAGTCTCTTCCTCGCTTTGGGCATCAGTTTTATCATCTATATCTAAGCAGCCCCAGGGACCCTGCGACATCCCGAGGAAAATAAATCTGCTCCAATCTCCACACCACAACCTCAGTGGGAAGTCAGGGGTATCACAATGACAGTTACAGCATCTAGGGTACCCTGTCCTGCTGCTAACAAAAGGGAGAGACCAGGGGATCTCCAAGGCTCTGGTGAGGGCTGGATTTCTGGGCACTGCACGGTAAGAGCTGGGGCTCCTATTATTTTATCATCTGTCATTATCAACAGCACAGTCTGCACCCTACCTGGGGCTCTTCCCAGGGATCCCCCAGGGCCAATGCACTCCCTCAACTCCCGCAGTCTGCTGCAACCTTCTCAAGGTTGCCCAACCACTCCATTTCACACAGCAGCCTGCACTGTCCCAGCTCTGCCACAGCCAACCTCTTCACATTGCCCTCCTTGTTGTTTTTTTTAAGCCCATGGCACTTACCACCTATCCTACTATATTTAATATATTTATTTCCTCTTTACTGCCTGTCTCTCCTTATGGAGGCCACAGTACTCAGTGGCAGGGATTTGGGTCTCATTTGTTCACTGATGTATCCAAAGTGCCTAGAAAGGTGCTTGATACATAGCAGGCCTCAGTACATCTTTGGAAAGTATCAGAATGAATGTATGATCAATCAAAACACAGCAGCTTCCATTTACGGGATGTTGTCTATGTGCTAGGGCACTGTGATAAAAATTTTATAGGCATGATCTTACTATTCCTCACAAAAACCTCCCAAGAAAAGTGCCTTTATTATGGCTATTTTACAAAAAAAGGCACTGAAGTCCTGCAGGGCCAGTTATACATGACCAAGACCACCCTGGTACAGAGAGGGAGAACTGAGCCTCAGACTGGGTCTGCTTGACGGGAACATGACCAAATCCTGCTGGAAGACCCAAGGTTTGCTCCCATCAAATATGCCAGCAACAGTATGGAGTAATGCCACTTCTCACGTGCTCCCTCAGGGCCAGGAAGGATCTCACGTGATGCCCCACAGCCGTCCTGAGATGGTGTCAGTCCTACCACCCATTTGTAGAGGAGGAAATGGGAGCTTGGTGAACTCAGGCAACCAGGTCAAGGTCCCTTGGCCAGCAGGGGCACAGCCAGGGTTGAACCAAGTAGATGGTGACCTTGGCCACATCCACCAACGTGGCTGAGCCTTTGCATCTTGGGGAAATGAGGGCATCATCATCCCACAATGCCAGGACAATTCTAAAATGAGGCCTGTCAGAAGCAGCCCGAGGGCACTCCACGAAGATTCAAGACGCAGAGGCTGAGGAAACCTGGGAAGGAGAATACACACACAGCAGACGAGGCACAGCTCGGCAGGCACAGGCGGGTGCAAGTTAAGGAGTGCCCACTTCTAAGCCTGAGTTCCGTCCGCTGCAAAATGGGAGAACGCCCTTCTCAAGGGGTCCCTGTGAGGGTGAGGGGAGATTCAGCACGGCAGGTGTGCTGGGCACAGCAGGGCCTGGGAAGGGCAGATCCCCTCCCCACTCCCGCCACAAACAACCCAAACCTTTAAAGGAGAGCAATGGCCTTATATCAGAACAAAACAAAACAAAACAAAAACCCTGTCCTGGGAGATTGGGGCCCTAATTTCCAACTGCAAGCCTTTATGAGGTTCTAACACTCTTACCGGGCAGAGTGTCTCACATGTCAAAGCATAACTGGATAACCAGCCTTCTGCTCACCACCGCCCGTAGTAGCAGTTGTCATTTCACAGATGAAGCAAAAGCTCAGGAGAGGCAGGTTAAAAACCAGCTTCCAGAGCCCCTGCAGGAGCTGCAGGTGGGCAAAGTCACCTCGAGGTGCCCTTCCCACGGAATCCTCACCTTCTGAGAGTCACTCACTTAGCTTCCAATGGGTGTGTGACTTTTGACCAGCTTTCTTCCCTCTCTGGGCCTCAGTTTCCCACCTGGACAAAGTAAGAGGTCTCTTGGCTTCAGATAGGTTTTCCTAAACTTCACTACTTTTTGCTTTTCATTTGAGTGTCCTCTTCATTATTGCCACCTCTCTGTCTACAGGCTTTTAAAATATATTTATTTCAGATTGTTCTGATTGAATGATATATTTATTTTTTATTTTTTGGATGGTATATTTCTAATAAGCACTTACCAAATTTTCAGCATCTCTTGATTGATAGGGCTATTGTATATTCTTTCAATGGTAACAAACTTAATACTTTCAAGTCTTTTTAGCCAATGTGCCGGAAGATAACCTTCTTCAGTTCTTTACCTCTCATAGCTAGATGCTTATATACACTGCAGCCCACCTGCTGTTATGCCCTGGGCTGTCAGTCCTGTCATCAAAATCAAGCCTTTTACATATACAGAGGGTACCAAGGCTGTGCATCAAGATCTTACTGCAAACGGTGCATTAGAGGTTTTGAAAGGCGCTATGTCATGTGGCAGAATTGCTAAAGATTGTTCAAACAACTCTTTACATGCCAGGGAGATGGCAAGAAGGAAAAAAAAAGGATGCACTGCTAGATCTTTTTTAAAAAATTAATTTTCACCAATTTTATATGAATTAGTGTTTGGGGAATGATCAGGGCAGAGGTCAGGCACACTATTGTAGAGCAAGGGCTGGCAAACTATAGCCCATGGCTCAAATATGCCCCGCTGCCTGTTTTTGTAATTATAATTTATTGGAACCTAGCCACACCCAGCTCATTTACATATTGCAGGTATAGCCACACCCATTCACTCAGTCATTACTTAGTAAGGCCGCTTTCACTCTAGCAGAATTGACCACTGTAGTTTTAACAGAGACTGTATGGCCCATATAGCCTATGTGGCCTTTTACAGAAAGCTTGCCAAACCTTGTTCTAGAAGGACCCCAGAACCACCTACATCAGAATGATGTGGTTGGGGAGAACGGCCTTGCTATGGAAGCTTCCAGGCTCTTGCTCAAGGTTACTAAATCAGACTCTCCAGAGACTGGGCTGGAACCTGCATGTCACAGGCAATCTCCTCCGTACTTAAGCACATCACTTCCTCAGTCTCACTAGTCTGCAGGGCTGGACTCTGATTTCTGTGTGTCCTTCCAGTAGAGCAATCCTCAGCTTAAGCCACATAAACACAATTTGGGGTCCTGTGTAAGGTCCCAGGGGGCATGCAGCCTGACCTGTTTTGGGCCTGACGGTGGTCAGCGGGTCCAGGTAGTCTACAAGGTCCCTGTGCTTGCAGTCCAGCGCAACCTCGAAGGCAGTCTTCTCGAGCACGCTGAGGTGGTCGGGGTTGGCACCCTTCTCCACCAGCTGCTGGGCCACTCCAAGTCGCCCAGTGAGTGCAGCCAGCATCAGCGGGCTCCAGCTCACGGTCCGGGCTACACGGTTGGGATCCGCACCCCACTCCATCAGTAGACGCACCACGGCCTCATGCCCATGCTGGATGGCGGCCATCAGGGCTGTGATGTCCAGGGGCTCATCCCTGCTGCTGCCCAACCCCGGCTGCTCACCCGAGGGGTGGTAATGGTCCACAAAGGCACCAGCTTCCAGGAGCAGCTTCACCACACCCAGGTGGCCACCCCGAGAGGCCACAGTGAGCACACTGGCCCCCAGCCGGTTCTGGGCATTGACATCAGCCCCGTGATCCAACAGGAGGTGTGCCACACTCACATGCCCAAATCTGCCAGGAAGATGGAGAATGAGTAACACTAAACACAGAGCAATCAGGAGACAGCTTATGTAGTCCCTATTTGTCATGAATTATTAGTCCTGACAGCTGCTCATAATAAGAGGTCTTATTCTTGTGCCAGGCACTGTGCCAGCCCCACAGATGTAGATGTACCATCATTAAGGTGAGCAGCTGCCCTGCCTGGGTTCAAATCCAGCTCTCCCCACCACTAGCTGTATGACCTTCAGGAAGAACTTTGGTTTCTTTGTGACTTCATTTCCTGATCTGTAAAATGGGGCTATAACTGCACCTACTTCAAGGGTTGCTGGGGATGAAATGAGTTATATGTAAAGCACCTGGCTCTGTGCCTGGCCACAGGAAGCATCACATCAGTGTCATTGATTGTTAGCTATTATAATTGTTCATGTTACATTACTCAACGGGCCAAGGGCTACCTGGCTGGTAAGGTGTGGCACCGGGTTCAGAACAGGTCTGTGTGAATCCCGCTGCCCTTGCTTTTTCCCCTACAACACGCTGCCTCCTACGTTTCAGACAGACCATTTTATTGTGCTTTATAGCCTGGAATCTGTCTCTCTGTCTGTGCTCTAACTTCCCCACAGGCAGGGCCCATGTCTGATTCATTTCTACCCTCCCCATCCCCAAACACACACATCCCATGCCAAGAGGTGTGGCAAGGCTGTGGTCAGCAGATGGGCTGGGCACCATGGTCCAGAGGCCTGCTGCCACCTGCTGGCAGGAATGTTTACTGCAGGTGGCTGAGGAGCCAGCCTGGGCCAGACTTTACTCAATGAAGTTGCTGCTGGGCCGCTGGAGAGAGAGATCTGCACCCACCAACTTCCTAATACCAGGAGAAGGAAAACAGATGCCTCTTCCCAGCAAAATCTCTTCCTTATTTAACACCAGAGGGCAGAAAAGTTCTGTTCTGTGGTGTTTCTGGTGGGCTCGGAGCTGTGCGTCTCCAAGCTGGAAGCAGCCCCGGACTAACAAGGAAACAACGACAAGAGAGGGGCTGTTTCCCAGACCGCATTTCCCAGACCGCAAAGCCACTGTCATGTTTGCATCTGTAAGGCAGCTTTCTGGGCTTCCCGATGCTCAGCCTTCCTTTCCAGGAGCCGGTTTTGCACCTCATCTAAACACAGGACCCCCCTCCTCCTGGCAGCTGGCAGCTGGCAGCCAGAGCTGAACTCTGTCCAAGGCTCGGGCTGAATACCTCCTGGGACATGAACCTGAACTGTATGGGGCTCCTCAACCACGGAGTGAAAGTCTAGTGACCCAGCTCCATAAGCAGCAGGGGGTTGGGCCTCTTGGCCGCCACTCCCAGAGCAGAAAGGGACAAGACAAACTGAAACCAACTCAAATGCAGAAAGCTCCACCCCAGTGTCTCCCTGCCTGCAGTCTGGTTCCCTCCTGTCCATCCTCCATGCGACCCCAAATGATATTCTCCGAACCCAAATCTGTCACTCTCCAGCTTCTGATTGCCAGAGACCTGCCTGTTTTGCCAACCTCCCTTCCTCCCGCTCCCACACCACACCTTCCAGCCATACTCACCAGTTACTACCCTCCTCCCCAACACCACCTTCACCATCCTGACCCCACCACAGGACTCTCCTGTCCTCATTACTCAGCACACCCTTGCTGAAGGAGTCGGCTCAGATCTCACCTGCTCCATGCAGCTTCCAGACCACCCCTTGCCAGGCTAGGTCAGTGGCCCTCATCTGAGCAACTTGGCCTTTTAGTATGGATTAAGAAGGTCGCCTCCGGCTGCACTTGAGCCCTCTTTATCTGTCTCTCCTACTCAGTAGCGGGCTCTCCAAGGACAGGGCAGGGTTCCTTACATGTTGCTTCCCCAGCCCCTACCATAGTAGCTGATCCACATCCAAGCTCAGTAAATTTTGTCAAATAAACGAGTAAATGAGTGCATAAACTGCATAATCATGTAGGGGGAGGTCCTGAGGTGAGCAGTGGAAATCACTGAAGAACTGGTATATCCTCCACTGGAGTAGAGATTTCTAAAAAAGTACACTGTTTAGTTGTGAAGCAGGAGATAAAATCCAGCATAATCTCTAACAGCAGATTACAAGGTGCTGTCACATTTTTATCTCATTTGATCTTAATAAACCCTGAGATAAACTCACGGATTAGGAAACTGAAGATTATGGTGGAAAGCAATTAATCTAAAGCCTCTCAATTTGAACATGATAGAGTCAAAAGTTGAAGCTGGACTCAAAATTGCAGCTCCAGTAGAACCAATTTTTAAGGAGGAACAAAAGGGCTGAATTAGGGCAGAAATAGTGAAATTTTGAATGTTTTCTGAATGTGTGAGTAGCCAAAGAGAGCATTCAACTATGCTGAAAATATAAAAGGATTCAAGCAAGGCTGAGATAATATTGTGGATGCTAAGTTTCTAATAGGTAATTACCAGAGGTGGGCATGCTAGGGGCTTTCTGAGCAGGTGCTGTGACTACTGATGAATTTCAGCAATTAACACCTGTGCTTAAAGAGCTGGCACACATTTTCCCCTCCCAAAAGCACTGGGCTGAGAGTCCAGCTCCGCTCCACTGGCAGGCAGGAAATGAAGGGTAGAGAAGGAAGGTAAATACTATGCAATCCTATCCCTTGGACAGAAGTCTGTGGCAAATTTAGCAAGCTGCTTCCTCGCCACCAACACCAAGAGGTAAACTATCGGTTACAGAATTCATAGCTGGGAACACAGGCTCTGGAGCCACCTCCCTAGGTGTGAATCTGACGAGCCACTTGGTAGCTATGTGTCTTGGGCAAGTTATTTAACTTCTCTGTGCCTCAATTTCTCATCTATGAAATAACGGTGACAATAGTACCTCCTTCCTAAGGTTTTACATAGATTGAATGAGGTAATTCATTTAAAGCATTTAACACAGTGCTTGACACAAAGTAGGTGCTCAATAAAGGTTACCTTTTTGTTTGTTTGTTTGAGACAGAGTCTTATTCTGTCACCAGGCTGGAGTGCAGTGGCACGATCTCAGCTCACTGCAACCTCTGCCTCCCGGGTTCAAGCGATTCTCCTGCCTCAGCCTCCCAAGTAGCTGGGACTATAGGCACATGCCACCATGCCCAGCTATTTTTTGTATTTTTGGTAGAGATGGGGTTTCACCATGTTGGCCAGAATGGTCTCAATCTCTTGACTTTGTGATCCACCCACCTGGGACTCCCAAAGTGCTGGGATTACAGGCATAAGCCACCGCGCCCAGCCAAAGGTTACGTGTTATTTTAAGAACAGGAAAAAACACTAACATAACCATTTCTAATGCTAAAACACCCAAAAGACACCAAGGCACAGGGTATCTGACAGTCTGGCCTGATCCACACAGACAGCTGGGATGATAAATAGATGCTTACTTAGACCCAGCGTGGTGGCTGCCAGGGGTGTGGTTTTGAGCAGGATTCTGGGGCATATCCAGATCTAAGGAAGAAGAGCACAAGGCTGGAAGGTGTTAGCATACAGGCCATGCATTTGCCTACCTGGATCTGAACGACAGACACACTGTACATCCTTCTGAAAGTCTTCCATACTAGACAAACTACTACTCAACTTGACCTTTTAGTATGAATTATGCAGCAGAAAGCTGGAGCACAACTCAACACAGGCAGAGGTGCTACCTGAATACAGGGTCAGTGTCATATCAACGAGGAACAGCACATTTTAAAGTGCCCAGGCTCAGACTATCCTGCAGAACTTGTTAAATTGGTCTCTGAGACACTCCAAGGCATGTCAGTGCTGCAGTCACAAACCTCACTCAGTAACTTTCTCGGGGGATTCACTAGGGCCCCCCAGCACGCACTCGGTGGACTGCAGAGATGAAACACACATCAGTGGCTCCCAAACCTACCATACAAGAGAATCACTGGGAGCCTCTTCTCACACAGTCCCTGTCCCTTACTCCCCTCACCGCCCCAGGCCTTCTGAATCATAATCTCCAGAAAAGGAACTCAAGAATCTGCACTTAGACAAGCATCCTGGTGATTCTGATGTGTGGCCAAGTTTGGGTACTGAGGAAGCCAATCAGCATTAATACGTGTGGTGGATGCTACCAGAGGCCTTTCTGCTGAGGAGGAACCAGAGAACAGGGAGATATCATGACATGCTTCACAGAAGCAGCTAAGCTGAGAGGAAGAGGGGATTTCATGAAAGGTGAAAGGGGCTTCCCTGTATGTGGTTATGATGAGCAGTCTGAAGTCAGACTCCCTAAGTCTACTCTAACAAGCTGCAAGCTCATGAGAAAATTTTGTAATCTCAATCTCAGATCCTCATCTGTAAAGCAGAGACAGTATTCTTGGCACACAGTAAATGCTCAATAAATATCAGAAAAAAAATATATAGATATAGATACATTAAAAAGGCCTGGATGAAACTACCTTGGCCAGAGTTTAGGAAGCCGAGAAAAAAGCAGAAGAGAAGATGCAGGAGGGGTCTGAACATGAGAGCCTCCAATGCCATGCTAAGTGCTCTGGCAAGAGGAGCCTGCATGGGGGGACATGACCATTCATTCCAGAAAGATCTGGAAGCTCCGTAGAGGACAGATCAGAGAAAAAAGAATGATCCTGTCCAAATATCAGCAGTACCAAGGTAGAGGAAACCCGGGTATTAACAAACTTTGGAAGGTTATGCAAGAAACTGAGTGATGGGTGGGGCCGAGTAGATGGTGGACAGGGTGACAGACTTCACTCTACACTACTATATGCATGTGTGTACACTGGGAGAAAAGGCAAGCAGTGGAGACCACTAAAAAGGTCTGGCCTGAGCTGAGGCAGAGGGGATGGAGGGACAGGTTTGGGTTTACAGGCTACCACAGGTGCAGAATGGGCAGATTTGGACATAGGGGCAGATGGGTAGCAGGTGGAGGATGTACCTGGAGTTTTAAAGCTTAAGAGAGTAGGTAATGAGACTAAGAGGGAAGAAAGGCTGATAGCCTGAAAGGCTTTTTGATCACCCCAGGCTGCTCTAGGCAAGAAAT